TATTTTATCTGATATGAGTATTGCGACTCCTGCTTTCTTTTGGTCTCCGTTTGCGTGGAATATTTTTTTCCAGCCCTTCACTTTTAGTCTGTATGTGTCCCTTGCTTTGAGGTGGGTCTCTTGTAGACAGCATATATAGGGGTCTTGCTTTTTTATCCATTCAGCCAGCCTTTGTCTTTTGGTTGGGGCATTCAACCCATTTACATTTAAGGTAATTATTGATAGGTACGGTCCCGTTGCCATTACAAAAGCTTCTTAAAATGGTTTTAAAAGGGGCCAGCTACCAAAATATCCTTAATCAGGAAAAACTTTGAGAGGGAAGTAGAGAATTACAATTATAAAAATAGAACCAAATGTGTAACATATCACAAAATATTTATATGCAACCAGCCCTTAATTTATGAAAAGATTACATTCCAAAATTCTATTTGAGAACCAACTAGACAGCATATTAAAAAGCAGAGATACCACTTTGCCAACAAAGGTCCATACAGTCAAAGCTACGGTTTTCCAGTAGCCATGTACGGATTTGAGAGATGGACCATAAAGAAGGCTAAGTGCCAGAGAACTGATGTTTTCGAAATGTGCTCTTGGAGAAGACTCTTAAAAGTCTCTTGGACTGCAAGAACATCAAACCAGTTAATCTTAAAGGAAATCAACCCTGAATATTAATTGGAAGGACAAATGAAACTCCAATACTTTGTCCACCTGATGTGAGATGCCAACTCACTGGAAAAGACCCCAATGCTGGGAAAGATTGAAGGTAAAAGGAGAAGAGGGTGACAGAGGATGAGACGGTTGGATGGCACCACTGATGCAATGGACATCAATTTGGGCAAACTCCAGGAGATAGTGAGGGACAGGGAGGCCTGGCATGCTGCAGTCCATGGGGTCATGAAGAGCCAGACACAACTTAGCAACTGAACAACAACAGGAACTACACTTCAAAAAAATATAAATTGAAAGATAAAAGGAGCCAGGAAAAATGCATGTTGTTGTTCCACCATTCAGTAACTGGCTACAGTAGGGAAGCTCCCTAGACCATCACATATTTCCACCACCCAATTCTTTTCCTTGGTCAAGAACAGGAACCCCACTTGCAGTGTCTATAACTAGTATTCTACAAGCAACCCCCTTTCCCTTTTTAGGGGTTAACACTTACCACATGACCCTCTTACAACTTACTGTTTTAAGTCATGGACAAGTTAGGTGATGGCACAAACTATCCTGCTATGATTAACATCATTCCACTCTTTTTAAATGCATGACTATACATGTGTCTGCCTTTTTTAATGAATATATGAATATTTTAAAAATCATTTTACATAGATACAAAGAGCTACATAGAGAAAAATATGGAAACGCACCAAATTATTAACCAATGTAGCGGTTGTATTTTAGGTGAATTCTTTTTCTTCCCTGCTTTATTTAGGTATATTTGACAAATATAAATTGCACACATTTTTTTAAAAGAAGGATCAAGAAGAAGGAGTGAATAAAATGATAAATTTAAGAAAATTTCTCAGATCTAAAGATAAGTTTTCAGATTGTAAAAGCCCACCAAATAAGACTAAAAATGATGCATGTCAACCTCATCATGGTGAGATTAAACACAAACAAATACACAGGGGAAAAGGGATGATCCTAAAAGATTCCAGAGGAAAAAAGCATATCTTACAAAAAGTGAAAGTGAAAGTTGCTCAGTCATGTCTGACTCCTGGTGAACCCATGGACTTATACTGTCCATGGAATTTTCCAGGCCAGAATACTGGAGTGGGTAGCCTTTCCCCTCTCTAGGGGATCTTCCCAACCCAGGGATCGAGCCCAGGTCTCCCGCATTGCAGGTGGATTCTTTACCAGCTGAGCCACAAGGGAAGCCCATCATTTACAAAGGACATAAAATTTTAATTGGGACTAGACTTAAAGAGCAGTACTGGAAACAATGCCTTAAAAAATGTGAAAGTTATTTTCAACCTACGATTCTGATTTTTAGCTAAACAATGAGTCAAGAATATGGGTAGAACAGGGACCTCCCTGGGCCCGGTGGATGGGAATCCGCCTGCCAATGCAGAAGACAGGGCTTTGATCCCTAGCCCAGGATGATTCCACACATGGAGCAACTAAGCTCATGCGTCACAACCACTGAGCCTGCACTCTAGGGCCTGCTGGCTGCCAACTACTGAGCCTGTGTGCCTAGGGGCTGTGCTCTGCAACAAGAGAAGCTACCACAATGAGAAGCCCCTGCACTGCAATGAAGAGTAGCCTTCGTCCACCACAACTAGAGAAAGCCCATGCAAAGCAGCAAAGACCTAGTGCAGTCAAAAATAAAATAAATAAAATTGAGTAGAATAAAAACTTTTTTGAGATGTGTAAAGTCCAAAACATTTACTTCTTATTCTTTCTGAGGAAGCTACTAAAGAACATGGTCCAACATAATGAGGGGATAAACTAAGAAAGCAGAAGACAGTAAATCCTAGAAATAAGTGATTCCATTTAAGGAGGTCACTATAGGATAATGGTAAAAATATATCCCAGGACCCAGACAGTGAATGCACCAGGTCTAAAGCACAGCCAGTCAAGCTTCGAGCAGAAAGAGGTAGGCAATGTCAATTTTATAACACAGTAAATTTTATTTTTTTAATTAATTGATTTTAATTGGAGGATAATCACTTTACAATATAGTGATGGTTTTTGCCATACATCAATGTGAACTGGCCACAGGCATACACGTGCCCCCCAATCCTGAACCCCCCTCCGCACCCCATCCCTCTGGGTTGTCGCAAAGCACCGGCCTTGGGTGTCCTGCTCCATGCACTGAATTTGCACTGTCCTCTATTTCACACATGGTAATGTACATGTTTCAATGCTATTCTCTCAAATTATCCCACCCTCGCCTTCACACTGAATTTTAGATCCAAGAAGATCATAAGAAGACTGAAACTAACAACATCGTTTGTATCACTAGTTCTAATTCCTAATTTTTTAGGTTAAGTGTCTATCTATGATAGAATATGATACATTTAAAATGTAGTTGTTTTATAGTAAATTTACTTTACCAGATATTTTAAAATAGGTACTATAGCCTTGAAAAAAGCAACAATTCAAACCTGGGCTGAGCAACAATCTTTGATCATATATTCCTCTGTTTTCTTAAACTGGGACTATCATTATCTCCTATGCACTCTGACTCAGAAGTAGAGAAAATTAAAAAATAATTCCCGCAAAGCACTTTGTATTCCTTGGAGAACAGATATTATCATCAAACATTATGTTATTATCTTGTTGAATATGCATGATTTCCAGTACCACACAAAGTATATCTAGATATCCTTTCCTATCTCATTCCATCATCTGGAGTCAATTGGAGTGAAATCTAGGCTGTTGTTATTTCAAGGGACAAATATATGCAGGAACAAAACAAATTCCAAATAATAATGCTTTTAAAATGATAAATCATTGATGATTACTGGAACTTCAACATTCTCACCTATCCTGTGAACTAAACTCGGACTTTTTTTTTTTTAACAACTGCTGTTTAGTTGTCCAGTTGTATTTGACTCTTTTGCGACGCCGTGGATTGTAGCCCACCAGGCTCCTCTGTCCATGGGATTTTCCTGGCAAGAATACTGGAGTGGGTTGCCATTTCCTTCTCCAGGGGATCATCCAGACTCAAGGATCCAACCCACATCTCCTGCTTGGCAGGTGGATTCTTTACCAATGAGACACCTGGGAAGCATTTTTTCAACAATACATAATACTAATTATACATTTAAAGCTTAAGAATAAACTTATAAATATTAGGTCTTTTCAACAAATTGATGCCAGTTTGTATTCAGTTGTGTACATTTTAAAATGTAGCTCCAAAAGGAAAAGGAAAACTTTACAGCTAGAATTATGGGGAAACTTTAAGAAAAGAATCCCTGATAAAATGTGACCCAACTTCATGCACTGATGAAAGCAAATGAGCCACAAGGAAGATATTTCAGTCAACAATTAAGCAATTTTGTGAAAACTGTGGAGAGGTGGAAGACTCAGTGCATGAAATTCAAACAAAATTCCGAGATATGATAAATTCATCTTATTATAAAATTATAATTTATGACTTTCAATTATAAGAACATACTATAACCCAGTGAATAGAATAAGAATCCATAAGCTCATTTCAACATAAAAATTTCAGGATATGAACACTGAAACTGAAATATTTAGAGGTAAAGAGGCATCATGCCTGGAACTTATTTACAAGTAGTTCAGGAAAAAAAAAACAGTGAAAAAGCAAATGTGGCAAAATGATAACATTTGGGGAATCTAAGGTAAAAGGTATGTGTAAACTCTTAGTACCACTGGAACTTTCCTGAAACCTGAAATATCAAAATAAACAGTTAAAAAATATTAATAATAGAGCTGCCATTTAAATTAACTTAGTAGCAGCCAGGGGATCTTCTCGACTCAAGGGTTTTACTTATATTATCTTTTTACTTATATTATCTTTAATCTTCACAACAATCTTTTAGAGTAGGTATTACCATGAATTCTGTATTTTTAAACACATAAGAACATGAAGATTCCAAGAAACTTGTTCAAGAACAGAGATCTAATTAAATAACACAGTCAGGTTTCAAACCAAATCATATTCCAAAGCTCATCCTCTTTCAATAAGACAGGAAATGTAGTAGTGGTTTAGACAGAGCTCTTGCTCTAGAGTTATTGACTCAGGTTTGAGGATCTGAACCCTCAATACTATTTGTTAGTAATGTGATTATGGGCAAATTACTTACCTTAACCTCTCTTTTGTATTGAAGATAGTATCTAGTGATCAGTGCCTATCTCATGAGTTACTGAGGAGATTAAACAACATATAGCATGTGCAACCCTTGAACACAATGCATGCTAAGTTGCTTCAGTTGGATCCAACTCTTTGCGACTCTATGGATCGCAGCCCTCCAGGCTCCTCTGTCCATGGGATTTTCCTGGCAAGAATACTGGAGTGGGTTGCCATTTCCTTCTCCAGGGGATCATCCAGACTCAAGGATCCAACCCACATCTCCTGCTTGGCAGGTGGATTCTTTACCAATGAGACACCTGGGAAGCATTTTTTCAACAATACATAATACTAATTATACATTTAAAGCTTAAGAATAAACTTATAAATATTAGGTCTTTTCAACAAATTGATGCCAGTTTGTATTCAGTTGTGTACATTTTAAAATGTAGCTCCAAAAGGAAAAGGAAAACTTTACAGCTAGAATTATGGGGAAACTTTAAGAAAAGAATCCCTGATAAAATGTGACCCAACTTCATGCACTGATGAAAGCAAATGAGCCACAAGGAAGATATTTCAGTCAACAATTAAGCAATTTTGTGAAAACTGTGGAGAGGTGGAAGACTCAGTGCATGAAATTCAAACAAAATTCCGAGATATGATAAATTCATCTTATTATAAAATTATAATTTATGACTTTCAATTATAAGAACATACTATAACCCAGTGAATAGAATAAGAATCCATAAACCTTGAACACAATGCATGCTAAGTTGCTTCAGTTGGATCCAACTCTTTGCGACTCTATGGATCGCAGCCCTCCAGGCTCCTCTGTCCATGGGATTCTCCAGCAAGAAAACTGGAGTGGGCTGCCATGCCCTCCTCCAGGGAATTTTCCCAACCCAGGGATCGAACCCACATCTCTTACGTCTCCTGCACTGGCAGGCAGGGTCTTCACCACCTGGGAAGCCCTGAACACAATACCAAAGTCTATGATAAGAATAAAATGTTTGTTGTTTCTATGTATTTCATGCTACCTTTCCTGAATAAGTGCTTTAGACAGTGCTTAATTTTGAAGAGTTGAGACCATTACCAGTTAATGGTAATTTTTTTTACTATCTTAAAATAGGTATTTAAAAATTTATCAAACCTAGAGAATTAAGCAGTTAATAAAACAAACAAACAAGTTTCCCTTACCTTAAACAAGAAGTTACTTCAATATAATTACAGATAAGACTAATTACTGCAGACTTTCTATAGCTGCTATGACAGAAACCAAGTCTACATAAATGTTACACATAAGACACTTAACAAATCACATGTTCAAGACTGTTTTCCATTAAAAAGTGAGAATAAAAAAAGACAGAGGCTGAAAATATTGAGAATGAATTCACTAGGTAAAACACCCTAATGCCAATAGCTCCAAAACAAATGTTTTAGGCCTCAAGTATCTTATAAGGGGAAGTCACAGTAAAAATACATTACCAAGTAATAAAATTCCCATCTTTAAGGAAGATTAACTGACTTTAACTCTAGTTATAGGACTAACTTCATCTGTTCATTAATATGTAAACAAACAAAAAGAAACCATTTTTCCTACCTTATTGTCTCTTCTATTAGACGATCTGAGCTGCAAATAAAAAGAAAATTCAAATTCTGGAATTATTAAAACCACATTTAAAACGTGCACTTAATTTTTCTATATTTTACAGATAGATTACTTTTCCAGTCATTTATGTGAAAAACACCAAGACTTTTGAAATCAGCTAGAGAAAACTCTGGACTCTGAAATTAGTTAATCCACATATATAGTTTTCATCTTAATTTGTAGGCTTAAATCTATTTCTTCCACAGAGATACTTAATGATTAAAGTCAGAACAGTTTTAATGAGAGCACAAAAAAATAAAACTACTTCTTTAATCTAGATAGCTCCAAGTTGTCACCAACTGTCTATCCAAAACTTCAGAATTACAGCCAAATTGTTGAGACAGGATAGGCAATATAGTTTCAATGCCTATAAGCAGTAATTATCTACATCTTAAAATTTCTTCCTTTTTTGAAAAACAAAATCAAATCTCAGCTTGGCACACTTTAGAATTCAAGAATCTGAATAAAGATACCAATGCACCATTGATTGGTAAAACATTTCCACTTATGCATCAAATACTGGAAAGAAAGACTCCTCCAAAAAATCCATTTTAGGGAGGAATGCACAGGTAGCTAAGCTTGGTAAAAGGGCAGCTTTACAGCGGAAAGAAATAAAAACAAACTCCCAGACATATGTATCCATTTGGCATAAAGACAGCATAATCTAGTAAAAACAATTTAAAATTACTCTCCTTTGGGGATACATAATATATAATCAAGTGGAATCATCCTTTGTAAACAAATACTTCATAACAGCCCAGAGGTATTCCGAAGAGGCACCTATTGTCTATGATTAAGCAATAAGTTTCTGTTTCTTTCAAGAAACCAAATTAAACTAGCTGAAAACAATGAGCTAAATTTCATCATCAATTACTGTACCAAGGAATCACTAAAGCCACACTTAGATATTAATTCTGTTTAAAAAGTAATTCACTTCCCTCAATATACAAACTGCAAATGATACAAATTTCAAGCACATATTTTGAAGCAGTTTAACAAAATGTAAGAACATGGCAAAACCATTTAGGTTAATAACTAATAAGAATCTTTTAAAAGAGGAGGTGAATAAAAGAATAAACAAGTAAATGAGTAAGCAAGCAAGAAAACAAACAAGCAAGTATGTAATAAACAAAACTTAAAAACTGATCCCTTTGTAAACTGTAAAAAAAAAACCGAAGAAAGTGGCAACAAACAAAGAAAAAAATTAAAACAAACAACGGGGGGAATTCAAGAATCCAACCAACTAAGAGTTAACCAGAGGGACCCAATGGCTTATTTACTTTTATATAAATATCTTCTAAGACATCTGAACAATACTATTAAGCTACAGTAGGACACAAAAAGCTAAGTGCTAACAGTTTTACATTACAGATAACATTTGGAAAATACAGAAAAAACAAAGATGAACGTAGAAATCATTTGTAACCACTCTTCCATTAACACAGAAAGTGAAGAAGAACTAAAGAACCTCTTGATGAAAGTGAAAGAGGAGAGTGAAAAAGTTGGCTTAAAACTCAACATTCAGAAAACTAAGATCATGGCATCTGGTCCCATCACTTCATGGGAAATAGATGGGGAAACAGTGGAAACAGTGTCAGACTTTATTTTTTTGGGCTCCAAAATCACTGCAGATGGTGATTGCAGCCATGAAATTAAAAGACGCTTACTCCTTGGAAGGAAAGTTATGACCAACCTAGATAGCATATTAAAAAGCAGAGACATTACTTTGCCAACAAAGGTCTGTCTAGTCAAGGCTATGGTTTTTCCAGTGGTCATGTATGGATGTGAGAGTTGGACTGTGAAGAAAGCTGAGTGCCGAAGAATTGATGCTTCTGAACTGTGGTGTTGGAGAAGACTCCTGAGAGTCCCTTGGACTGCAAGGAGATCCAACCAGTCCATCCTAAAGGAGATCGGTCCTGGGTGTTCAATGGAGGGAATGATGTTGAAGCTGAAACTCCAGTACTTTGGCCCCCTGATGCAAAGAGCTGACTCATCTGAAAAGACCCTGATGCTGGGAAAGATTGAGGGCAGGAGGAGAAGGGGACAACAGAGGATGAGATGGTTGGATGGCATCAGACTCAATGGACATGGGTGTGGGTGGACTTCGGCAGTTGGTGATGGACAGGGAGGCCTGGTGTGCTGTGGTTCATGGGGTCTCAAAGAGTTGGACACGGTGGAGTGACCAAACCAAACTGAACTGAACGGAAGTTACCTAGAGACAAAGAGTTAAGCACCTGACAGAATTCTTCCCAGTTCAGTCAAGGGGAGAAAAAAGAGAAAAATAAAAGCTGAATTATTAGCAACGAAATCAGAAAGTTACATTTTCTATTTAAACAAAAAATCAGTAGACTTTTTAGAACAGTTTTAAGTTTGCAGAAATATTCAGCAAAAAGTAACAGTCCATATACCCATCCTCCCACACCTACTATTAACATCTTATATTATTACTGTGGTACACTTGCTACAACTGATGAACCAATATTGATACATTATTAACTAAAGTTCACAGTTTACATTAGGGTTTACTCTTTGCAGTTGTACAGGTCTATGGGTTTTACAAGTGTATAATGTCATGTCATGTATCCACCATTACAGTATGATAGAGAATAGTTTCACTGCCCCAAATATCTCTGTGCTCCAGTTCTTCCTCTTTTTTCCTCCTCTTCCCACTCTGAACCCCTGACAACAGCTGATCATGCCTTTGTTATGTAATTGGAATTATATAATATGAAGTATACAAAAAAGAAGACTGACTTCTTTTATGCATTTCAGGTTCCTCTGTATCTTTTGGGGCTTGAGCCTATTTCTTATATCACTGAATAATAGTCCATCAAACGTATGTACTTAACAGGTTGTTTATCCATTCACTTTTTGAAAGACATCTTGGTTGCTTCCAACTTTTGACAATTACAAGTAAAGCAGATATGAATATTCATGGGCAGGTTTTTACTTAGAAGTATTTTCAATTTGTTTAGGGCTATGACTGCGGGATGGTATGGTAAGACCATTTAGCTTTTTAAGAAAAACTGCCTAACTGGCTTCCAAAGTGGCTGTTTTTTATGATTTCAAGTGGTTTTTTTTTTTTTATGATTTATGATTACAAGTGGCTTTATATTTCCCACCAGTAGTAAGAATTCCTATTGCTCCATTGGGTGGTGTCAATGTTTTCGATTTTAGTCATTCTAACAGGTATGTGGTGGTATCTAGTAGTTTTAGTTTGCAGTTCCCTAGTGACATACAATGCTGAGCAGTTTTCACATGGTTCTTTGCCAGCTGCTTATCATCTCAGATGAGATATCTGTTTGGATCTTTTGCCCACTTTTAAATTTCAGTATTCTTGCCTTGAGAACCCCATGAACAGTAGGAAAAGGTAAAAAGACAGGACACTGAAAGATGAACTCCCCAGGTTGGTAGGTGCCCAACAGGCTACTGGAGATCAGTGGAGAAATAATTCCAGGAAGAAGGAAGAGACAGAGCCAAAGCAAAAACACCACCTGGTTGTGGATGTGACTGGGGATGGAAGGAAAGCCCAGTGCTGTAAAGAGCATAGAACCTGGAATGTTAGGTCCACGAATCAAGGCAAATTGGAAGTGGTCAAACAGGAGATGGAAAGAGTGAACATCGAAATTTTAGGAATCAGCACACTAAAATGGACTGGAATGGGTGAATTTAACTCAGATGACCATTGTATCTACTACTGTGGGCAAGAATTCCTTAGAAGATTTGGAGTAGCCATCATAGTCAACAAAAGAGTCTGAAATGCAGTACTTGGATGCAATCTCAAAAACAACAGAATGATCTCTTTGTTTCCAAGGCAAACCATTCAATACCACAGTAATCCAAGTCTATGCCCCGCCCAGTAATGCTGAAGAGCTGAGGTTGTAGGTCTATGAAGACCTACAAGACCTTCTAGAACACCCCAAAAAGATATCCTTTTCATTACAGGGGACTGGAATGCAAAAGTAGGAAGTCAAGAAACACCTGGAGTAACAGGCAAATTTGGCCTTTGAGTACAGAATGAAGCAGGGCAAAGGCTAATAGAGCTTTGCCAAGAGAACACACTGGTCATAGCAAACACCCTCTTCCAACAACACAAGAGAAGACTCTACACATGGACATCACCAGATGGTCAATATCAAAATCAGACTGATTATATTCTTTGCAGCCAAAGATGGAGCAGCTCCATACAGTCAGCAAAAACAAGACAGGGAGCCGACTGTGGCTCAGATCATGAACTCCTTTTTGCCAAATTTAGACTTAAATTGAAAAAAGTAGGGAAAACCACTAGATCATTCAGGTATGACCTAAATCAAATCCCTTACAGTAGAAGTGACAAATAGATTCAAGGGATTAGATCTGATAGAGTGCCTGAGGAACTATGGATGGAGGTTCGTGCCATTATACGTGAGGCAGTGATCAAGACTAACCCCAAGAAAAAGAAATGCAAAAAGGCAAAATGGTTGTCTGAGGAGGCCTTACAAATAGCTCTGAAAAGAAGAGAAACAAAAGGCAAAGGAGAAAAGGAAAGATATACCCATTTGAATGCAGAGTTCCAAAGAATAGCCAGGAGAGATAAGAAAGCCTTCCTCAGTGATCAACGCAAAGAAATGGAGGAAAACAACAGAATGGGAAA